TAGTCTATTTTTAGGTATCATGCACATCACATTCAAATTGATGTGACATATTTGAATTCTGAAAATCCGCCCATATGTCATACACATGCATGCTATACTTCTTATATGGCAAATATGCCATATTGCTATAATATTTAATAGTTATTGGTCATGTTGTGAATGATAACTGATTATTCACTAGGGTATTGTTTTATGACATGGCCGAAGGTCATGTCTAGTGTTCTGCAAAACTGGATCCAAGTGGATCCGAATGGATCCAGCATTTTGATGGATATTAAAGTAGCATTTTACAAAAGGTACATGAACTAAAACTGCATATATAATTAATACAGAAAATACACTTCTAGCAACAGGTTCTATTCATCTCTCACGTATATCTGTAGCGAGTAGCAGTCATTCAAAGTTATTGTATAAACTGGATCTGAATCTGGGTCTGGATCTGGATCCAGTTCATTCAATAACTTTGAATAACTACTACTTGCTACAGATACACGTGAGAGACGAATGGAACCTGTTGCTAGTAGTGTGTTTTCCGTATTGATTATATATGAAGTTTTAGTTAATGTAACTTTTGTAAAATGCTGCTTTAATGCCCATCAGAAATGCTGGATCCACTTGGATCCAATTTTGCAAAACACTAGTCACAGTATTTGCAGTGAAGAAATCAGCAATTATCGGCCGCAATTTATCCAATATCTGGCATAAACACCTAATGATTTTTGTGAACCGGGGTTAAATCACCACCCAAAAAATTTCAGGTCATGTGATTTAATGATCGTGATATAAAATTTTTCATAAAAAATAGTAAAAACGAAAGTATATTTGATTTTTTGAATGTGAATAGTGGAAATCACATGATCTGGATTTTTTTGGGGCGGCGATTTAATCCCGATTATTTTTGTATATCTTATTCGGCATCCTTCTAATATAAATACACAAATTTTCATTCATCTCTTACTGTAAGAGGTGATGAAAATTTGTGTATTGTATTAGGAAGTGGCCGAATAAAATCGTTCGGTGTTCACATAAGATAACAATTTTATTATTTGGCAACTATATAGTTTCTGCAAAATAAAAATCTATTTGCCCCGGATAAATTGATTTATTGGCTAACTAAAAAAAAATTTTTAATTTTTGGACCTATAAACCAGAAAAATTTTTTTGTATAGCCTAATTATTTTATTATTGCTTTCAAAAGTAATAAATATATATATGATATATATTATATATATACAGTATATATTTATATTAAATTAATTAATATATTCTCTAGTGCCCGTGGGTACTAGAAGAAAACACTAGCTAGTTAAATACGTGTATATTACTTATTGCTAGGTGATGTGTTAAACGAATCATGCATATCATCCGAATCACATGTCCAAGTTTCGTCTTTTGTACCAAATGATCCGGTATCAATATTATACCAATCGTTTGAGTCCGAATCTCCGGTACACCCAGCCACCGTATCAAATTGATACCCATTGTTAATTAATTGAGAAATCTCATAAGGAACCAATTGACTACATGTAGTTTCAATTCTGTCGTGATTTATCACGATATGGGGATTTTGATCACTAGTCGCTTTGTCAAAAGTTGCTTCACACTGCGATTCGGTGACACCTGCTATAGAATCTTGAGGATCTACATCCCACATTACTATTTTATCCATTCCGTTCGCAAGAATAGCTGATTTTATGCTCGGATTATCGACACCATCACCGTACGGAAGCCGGAAATATCGTGGAGTAACGCCAAGAATTTTCTTAAACGCAGTATTTAAATAATCCAATTGGTAGGTTACTTCATCAGGACTGACTCCAGTCAAGTACGGGTGGGACCATGTGTGATGGGCGATTAGGTGACCTGAGGAGTAAGCACGTTGTATGATATCAGCATAGTCGTAGATACAATACGGATCTGCGTTGTGGCCATTGATAAAGAATGTAACTTTTATTCCATAATCATCTAGCATATCGAGTAGGTCATTCGTCCACTAAAAGAAATTTATGTAAATGAGCGAATTTTTAAAGCTTTAGATTTTTAAGATATAAAATGCATACAGAGCGTGGACCATCATCAAAAGTTAATGCTACAGTATTAGGACTTTGGCAAGTGTTGATAACTTTTATATCATCATTAGTACCATCATTAGTATTATTACTGTTATTTGAAAGGCCGCAGAAGCCATATCCTTCTTGGCAGTGTTGATCCGGATCACAATAATCTATAAAGAAAGAAAATTATTTAAGAATTTAGCTGAACTGAAAAAAAAATAAAAATAAAAAAATTTAGACAAAATGAGAAACATACCAGGTGTATTACCACAATAACCCCATTGAGAGCAGCAATAGTTGCTTGGGCTAGAATAAACAAATATATATATATAGAATCGTTGAATAAAAAACAAATAGATATATTCAAGTCAACAAGTATATATTTACCATCTGGTATTCGTTTCAGGGCCGCAAGCGCCGTCCGTTGAGATTTCTTGAGTTTTCGAGATATTTATGAGATATAACAACGTTAGGATTAAAATCGAATAATTAATTTTAAACATCTTGTTATAAATGAATGAAATGGTTCTCCGAGATTTGACTTTTTCGGAAGATGATTAAGTGAATGTATATTTCGCAAAGAAATGATAAATATGGATTGAATTCGGGTGAGAGGGAATTCTGAAGACGATATATAGAGGAATTCAGATGAGAAGACGAAATATAACGGAATTCGGATGAGAGGACATATATAGAAGACAACAAAAATGTATCTAAATTACATTGTAAATGACTAAACCAATTGCTAGTTCTGTAATTTTTCACATTATTCACATTATTAACGAGATAACCGATTAGGTTCTCACTACTTTATGCACCAAATAAAATTATGTTAATTATGTTTAGATACACAAGTAAATTACGATCGATCAATCGAAACCTTTCAATGATCAGAAATTGGTATAAAATTTATTGCCTTTTTTGTAAAACTATTCTTTTAAATTTACAAAATTGCATATGTATTGTACTAATAAAAATCCTTCATAAACAATTCTGAACATGAAATTGGCCGACATTGTTAAACTATTTGCATTAGAGGTGAAAGCTGTAGATATCAGATATCTCATAATAAAAGGGCTCCATTCATACTGGTGTTTTTTAATATACAGATACACTACACCCTCTATAACTGCACCCTATGCCTCAGTTCTGATTAATAATGGCACTTATAAAACTACTCTATAAATGCACACCCTCTACAAATGCACTCTTATGGTCGGTCCCAGGGAGTGAGGTTTGACTGTATATAGAAAAAAATTGCTATAAAGAATCAGTGCACTTCTAAACTGTTAATTTTATGCATTGCAATTAACAACAATGATTTTTAATGGTTGAATTATAAACTTACAGGTAGTACGGCATTTATTCTACGTATTATCCATGCTACGTATTTAAAAATTTTAATATATGCTTCGATAGGAAAAGAACATATCCTAACTCCTAAAGATCTTTGCTAGCTACACACCGACTAAGAACATACTATAGGTTTTAATATGATTATAATCAACTTTCGTGAGTAATACAAACTCCTAAAAAGAAAATAGCCAACCAGAGAATGCAAATTTAACTATTCCAGGACACATGAGAAATAAAAGATGTTGAAAACTAATGTTTAAATCGATCTTAGAGAAACTTGGTTTATTTACAAAATTAAATTTTACACAGCTTAACAGAAGACATGTATAGGTATTATCTTTAATATCCTGATCGTTGGGATTAGCGGAAACTTTGTTTCCGCTATTCATATATGGATCAAAATGATCTTAACATAGTGATCGGGGGATTAATCAAGTATACAGTTAAAATACGATAATTCAAAGCCTTTGGATTTTTATGTTGCACATTATTTTGTAAAATTGAATTGTAAATTTTATGTTATATTAAAGGAAAAATATATATGTAGCCATATTCAATAATTATATATATAATATATACCTCAAAATTTTACTAGGATAACCCTGTTGTGTAACTAAGTAAAAATGCTTCTCTCGCCCTAACCTAACCTAACCTAACCTAATCTAACCTGACCCTAACTCTAACCCTAATATATATTAATTAGCTACAAAATTTTTTTATAAAAAAACTATATTTAATAGTATAGCTGCAAATAGATTAATTATATATGAGTGCCGCCAAGAGAAAACCCACAATTAGGCTTTCAACATTCAATTTGTTTTTTCGGGCTTTAAATTATATTTTGTCAAAATAAAATTGAAAGCCGATGTTAGACTATTTCTAGATGGCATACAAAAAACAAACTGAACATTGAAAGCCTGATTGTGGGTTTTCTATACTAACAGCTCAATTATCTAAGCTATATATATTTTTTGCTTTTATTAGGTTTATAGCTAACTCTAATATTTATAGTACTTCTTATTTGATATTATAAGATTTTTTTTAGATAATCCCTATTTTCAATCTAGTTAACTTGTAAGAGTTGGTCTGTCTAGACTTTAAGTACTATATAATATTCTTTTTTAATATATATAGTATTTCTAAAGTATATGCTTTTTTTTTTTAATATAATTTTGGTAGTCAGGTTGGTGTAATTTCAAATCTATAAAAGTTATAATTAACAGGTCTTTAGTTTAATTCTTAATTGATCATCAATTCTGTAATACTGTCAAAAGTTAGCTACTACCTTCTAATTTGGATCTTCTCAAATAAGTTTTCTATATTTTAATAATTTTTGAAATTTAAATATTTATTTAAACTTATCATAGATTTGCACTATTTAAGCCAGTTTGTATTCTTTTGTGTTTTTTAATTAGATTACACAAATACCATTAGATCTTCTAAATACTAGTATCTTAATACAACTTGAATTACAAATTTTTCTGATTTGATAATTTGTAATCTAGTTATATACTATACTACAAATTATTATTTAAAAGTACTATTTATAAAATTTGAACTCTAGACTACTGCTTAATAGAATAATAACTAAACTATTTTACTAAACTGTTTTTTTTTTTGAAAATTCGGCAATCTTGCCTCAACTTTATTAAGACAATTAATATTATTCTACAAAATATTAAAATTTTTTAAAGAACTAATCCTAGCAACACCTAATTTACAAGTTTTGGCTCATCTAGTTATCCAAAAGACACCTATATGTAATCTGCTATAAGCAGAAATTTTCCTTTATAAAATTTCTTTCTGCAATCAAAAGAAAAAAATATATCACTAGAAGGTTCTTGCTGGCCCATCAAGACTACCTATTCTCTTTTTTAAAACTTCTTCTATCTAGGTCTGGGCAGAATAGTTTATCTCTTACTTCTATATAAGAAAAAAATAAATGCCATGTTTATAAAAAAATATATATATATATTTAGGAAGAGAGAAAAAAGAAAAGAAAAAAGAAACATATAAAAGAAGGAAAAAAAAATATGTTCTAAAAGTGATTTTAACATAAATAGACAAAGATGAAAAAAGCAAAAAAAAAGAATAAGATAGCCTTGACGAGCACACCTTGTAGAAGACAAAGAAAATACATATAACGAAAAAAAAAAAGAAAAAAAAAAAAAATTGTGCAGTGTGTAGTTTAGTTATTGAAATCTAGTAAAAATTATATAGTACTGAGTATCGAAGTCTTTACATTATCCAAAACTAATATACTATATATAATCAGTATACGTATTGTTTATTCTGAACACATGTAGAGAAGGATACATAACTCTTAGTTTCTGATTTGGTTTGTATAAACACTATTAATCACTTATAAAGGGCAAACTGAATTGTTTACTTTTTGTTAGAAAAACCTTAAGATAAAAAAAAAGGATAGGAGGTAGCCAACTTGAAGAAGGTGATAAGAGTTACGCTATACAGAATAATATATCTAACTAAATAGCTACTTCTGCCAAGGCTTTTATAGTACTTAACAAAGCTCTAGAGCTTGTTTGCTACTTCTTCACTTAGTAGCACCAGAGTCTTCTGCCAGGGAACTTTGCTTACAAGAGAAACTCTTTTTAACTCTATTTTAGTTACACCAATATGCAGTAAATAGCCACTAATCCCAGCTGCTACTAGTAAAGTTTTGTAGTGTTTAGACATAGTAACTATATAGTTTTTATAGACCAGGCTTTCTGGAAAAGTTGGTGTAAGGAATCGTCAGAAAGAGTTGCATGTAGTATATGTTTACTAAACTGTTATACTCTAATTTTATATTAAAACTTATATTTTTTTATAAAAATAATTTTTTATTTTATTAACTCTTTCTAATGATCACTTGTATTAAAATTTTCTAAAAAACTCTATTACTAAAAATACAAGCATATATAGTAGTGTTATTATAAGTCAAAGAAAAACTATAAGATAGCAACTATTATTTAAAGGTAGTTCTTATACACTACCTGCTAATAGTCTTAGAGTTTATCACTTATCGTAAGTGTGGTGCCTGTTATTTAAAAATAGTTCTCATATGCTATTTGCTAACAAGTTTAGAGTTTATCACTTATCAAGAAAACAAGTATTTGTATATCTACTCCAATAGAAGTCTCAATAGAGGCTATAGATTGCTGTTATTTTTAGTAAAGAAAAATCCACACTCTTTAAAATAGTACAAGTGCTTTTTCTTTCCTCTACTTCTCCCACCAATTTTACAAAAATTTTCAACAAAAAGTGGGCAAAATAGTATTATTACTGCTTTGGGTTTGAACTCAATACAGAGTGCAAGCAGAAGGGAGTAATAACTTGACAGTTCGATAACAACAAAGGTTTAATATTTAAAAGAGTCAAGTCAAAAAGAAAAATAAAATAAAACTTTGAAGCCTTAGTACGTAATGTACTAATAATTGCTGTGTCTTATTGCAGTCTGTAAAAGAACAAGAGACATATATAGTTTAGCAATGGCATACTTTTGTGGCTTTATAATAAAAGACAAAAAGATAAAAAGATAAAATAATAAAAAAAATACTAT